TGCAGGGGGATTCTACACATTTTTTCCTCCTCTTCCCTGTCGCACCTTCTTTGCCCAGCCTGGACACCTTCAGGTGGGTGGGTGCACACCCAGAAAAGGGATCCAGCGTTGAGCCCATAGGTTTTCCCCGTGGCACAGAAAGAGCCTTATTGGACCTAAGGGCAAATTCTTTGGCAGCTGCTTATGACGTCAGCCTCTGGGTCACAGCCCTAAAATTAACTTGTGCTGGACCCTTTACTCCAGCATATCCAGCAAGAAAAAAGCAGGCCTGATGGACAAACCATATGAACAATCTGTAAAACCCCAACATAAAAGGACACAACTATCTCCAGAATTACGCTGTGCACACGGAAATACCTAACTGACCTTCAGAGACAAAAATAGTAGACAATATTTCGCCCATTAACTTCTCAACATCTATCTATGCACCTCTGTGGTGGTGACTAGAGGAGGTGCCTGAGTGAGCAGACACCCCAACCCATTTCTGGAGGCCTCTATGGTGCACACACACTGCCTGTGTAGCAAGGTGGCTGGACAGTAGGCCAGTTTTATTTTTGTTTCAAAGTGGTGGTTTTTGACCCAGCTTTTATATTGCTTCTGTTTTTGGTCTTTTTGATCACACACTTTTCCTGGAGGTGGGAGCTTGTTCTCCCTACGTTACCCAAGAAGAGACAGCAATAGTAGCCATATAACCAAGCTACAAGCATACCCCATAATATTCCACCATTGAGACAAGAGCCAGTAACAGCTGCTAAGCATTACATGCAGTAAGGAAAGTCTATCTCCTGATCATATCCACCAGCAGACACCCAGTAAGCTTAATAACACAGCAATAAACATCAGTTTAAGCCTTAAAAACTCATGTAACTACTGGAAATGACCAATAAAACACAACAAAAGGTCTCAAAACATGTCCAGAAACAGAAAAGAGTAACTGAAACAAAGGAGCTGGAGACAGACAAAAGCTTTCCAAAAGAGGAAAAGCAGGTTTTGGATTTGCCTGAGAAAGAATTCAGAAGAATGATATGGAAACAAATTCAAATGCTCCGAAAAGGGGTGGAGGAAAACAAGGAAGAAGTCAGGAAAGTACTACAAGAGCAATCAAACAAGATCAATACAGCATTGGAAACAATTCAAAACCTGAAAAAAGAGGTCTAGATGATTAATAATAAAATATCAGAAATGGATAATACACTGAAAGGGGAAAGAAGTAGAATTGAAGAGATGGAAGCCAGAACCAGCCAACAAACATAGAAGAAATGTTCACAATCACTAGCCATTAGAGAGATGCAAATCAAAACATCAATGAGATATCATCTCACACAAGCAATAACAGCAAAGATCAAAGAAATAGAGGACAATAAATGCTGGCAAGGATGCAGAGAGACTGGGACGCTCTTACATTGTTGGTGGGATTGCAAAATGGTCCAACCTCTCTGGAAAGCAATATGGTACTTCCTCAGAAGGTTGGAAATAGAAATACTTTATGATCCAGCAATTCCTCTTCTTGGTATTTACCCACAAGAAGTACAAGCCATAACACAATATATGCACATCAATGTTCATAGTAGCACTATTTATAACAGCAAAAAGATGAAGACAACCTAAGTGCCCATGAATTGAAGAACGGATAAATATTCCAATACACACAGTGGAATACCATGCTACCTTGAAGACCAACAAGGAAGCTGCAAGCCACCATATAACATGGATGAACCATGATGACGTTGTTGTTGTTAAGTGCCGTCGAGTAGGTTCCGACCCATTGCGTCCCTGTATAGGGGTTTCTGAGGAGTAGCTGGCAAGGACATTATGCTGAGTGAAATTAGCCACAAAAGGAGAAGTTCTGCATAGGACCATTATTGTAAGACTAAGAAAAAGAACC